GACCAGAATCAAATTTTTTTTTTTTGCAAATCAGAAAAAAACGAAGAGGCGAATCCGAGAACCAACAAATTAAATTGGTGTGGCCTAAGGGCTAAAGATTATAAGATTCATCAGAAACTAGAAAAAAGCATTCGAAAGATTAAGAATAAAACTGTGGGAATTTTTGATTTCATATGCTTTTAAGAAAATTTCTTACTATTGCATCTACTGTTTTGTCTTCTAACCAAAAGGAAGAAATGGTTCAAGCAATACATTGTATATGTATGTGACACAGTTGTACATGCCAAAGAAATGAAAAGATTACTTGAGTGGTCAAAGGGTTGAATAGAGAGTCATGGAAGGATGCAATTACTATATAAAAATATAAATGTCAATAATGGAAGATAGGGGTTAATACTTTGAAAATGAAAAGAAGGTGAAACATTTTCATGGAGAAAAAGGAATGAACAGCAATACATAAAATTACATAAAATTTAGCAGAAAACATAACTTGTTAAAAGCATTCAACACCAGAAAATAGAATGAATCTGCTGGTTTGGAATTATTGTCAATACAATGAGTTTATTGGTTATAACTTATATGTTATCATCTTTAAATCACTGTTAAAAACCTTAACCCATTTACCAAACCAACTCACACTTTAACTGATAGGCAAATTAGTCCATATTGATAATAATTAGATTTTCATCAGATTCTTGTTTCTTTTAATAAGATAATTATAGCTTCTCTGGCAAAATGGCAAAACAAAATTAAACTTGTTCACAGACTCACCGGAATCTTACTTGAAGAAAGGGCAAATCTCTTAATATCCTAATGAAACAAAAAGTGTTTTCAACAAGTTATATGACCACTGTCAAACTGTAAAAATATCAAAGGTAAACTCATTTTTTGCATCGTTCAATGCTACACATGTATATGTACATGTAAGAATAGGATTTAGAACATCCATGTCAATAGAAAAAGGTTTTTAGAGAGTAGTCACTATGGTGTTTGTTTTGGTGTGGCCTTTAAGCTGTAGGATACGAGTGGATAAAGCAGAATAATAGAACTGAATTTGGGATATTAAGAAACAATTATTCTTCTGCAGTGCATCTGCATAGTCTTTTCCAGATTTTCTAGGTGCCCTTCAAAGCAACACATACATGTATTTCTGAGCAAGCCTTGATGTACATGTAGTGGATGCGAGCATAAAATACATACAGTACTGTAGTCAGTATCCAAGTTTGTTGCCACATATTTGTCTAAGTGTGTGTAGAGGAAAACATTGCTTCAAGTGCATGTATCATCATGTATTGCCCTATCAAACTAAACAAAGCTGTTCAGTAGCTACAATAATGTAGTACATTTACATGAATTTGAGCTAGAACCTGGGGTAGCTGCATTGTGATTTATCTGCAATTCAGGTAAAATACTGACAGACCTGGCAGTCCAGAACCTAAATTACATGTATCAAACATGAGAAAACAAGGGTGGCCTCCAAACTGGGAATATTATGATTCTTAGAAGGAGCAGCATTTTCAAGAAACCAGTCTAGAACAGTCAGTGGACCTCAGCAATTCAGCTAACACCATCATCATGTTTTAATGTAGTCAGCTTCAAAATTATCAAATCATAAATGATGGAGAAAAACAGCAAAGTGCCTAACTTTGACCAAAAGCACTGACAGCAATGTCAACCAAAAAAAATATGATGACTGCAAACATGAAGACCACACAAACCTTGCCCTCCTTCTTCTTAGCCTCCTCCTTCTTCTTTGGCTCAGGTGTAGGTTTTGCAGCTGCAACATCTTCAACAGGTGTCTCCTCAGGTGGCTTCTCAGGTGTCTCATCAGATGTCTCTTCCAGCAGTTTTTCAGGTGTCTCGGCAGGTAACTTTTCTGGCGTCTCTGCTAACGGTAGGGTCTCCGGTGTCTCGGCTGGTAACGTTTCGGCCTCGGAAAATGTCGGCGTGGTCTTTTCCACTGGTAAGTCATCAGGAGCAACCTCTCCTGTAAAACATTTTCAAACTGACTGTTAGCAAATGTTAAAGCTTGCAAGAATACAAGGTCTACATTTTTTATTCTCCTGTAACACAACAATTAACGTGTTTACAGTAGTAAATACATAGAAAATGTAACCTCATGTGAAGTGTGAACATTAATCATAATAATATATTATTTGAATATTAAATAGCATGCAATATTTGTATGATACAGATGTGCTCCGTGTTGTTCCTTTAATTTAATAAAATTGTGTAGAGATAGTTGATTTTAGTGTGACTTATCATTTACAAATAATGTACATGTGTGTGCTGGCATTGTAGAGAACTGCAATAGTCCACATACGAATGTTAAGGAAAAGGAGAACAAAGTATAAGGAAAACGTAACTGCTCTTGGACATTCAGAGCTGCTTGTACGTCATGCCATGCTGTAAATAAAGTTGAAACAAAAATAAGGAATACAAAACTTAAACATAGTTCATCAACATCAACAGTATACCAAAAGGAACACACAAATGAAAATTAATTCTACAGTCTGTGATTAATCAAAAATAAATCCCACTAAGAAAAAGCAGGGGGCTCCTGTGGTTGAAAAGTGGTGCAACGCAACATCTAAAGCAGAACTGAACAATAATCAGGGTAGGTAAGTTTAGGTAGCAGCAGTGATTGCTTTTCTACTGTGCCGGTGCAGTGTGAACGAGATTCAGAAGGTGGCGCCAGTGACGTCAAGCCATCCCAAACCTTTTGCTTCCCCGAAGCTTCCAAAGATGGCTCCGGCTCCCAGAGCTGCTGCGAATTCTGGCACTTCCTTGGTGAGAACGACGTCCTCTGCCTGGTCAGCCTCCTCCATGACTCCCCTCTGCATGGCCAGCTCGTCCGGGGTCGGCATGGCCTCCTCCGTGGAGGGGGTGACAGGTTTTTCTGCCATGGCAGCAGCTAGCTCTGGAGAAGCAACCTCTTCCTCGCTAGGAGCCTCAGGTGAGAGCACACGAGCCTCTCCAGGCTCAGTAGAAAACACATGAGCCTCCTCAGCATCAGGAGAAAGCACATGGGCCTCCTCAGCCTCAGGAGAAACCACACGGTCCTCCTCAGCCTCAGGAGAAAGCACATGAGCCTCTTCAGCCTCAGGAGAGAGCACATGGGTCTCCTCAGCCTCAGGAGAAAGCACATGGGCCTCTCCAGGTTCAGGTGAAAGCACGCGAGCCTCTCCAGGCTCCTCAGTAATGAAAGCAGCAACCTCTGGCTTATCTTCAGCAGTGTCCATCTTGGTCTCTACTTCTCCTGAGACAAGTCTGGCTTCTTCTTCTTCTTCTCTGGCTAATTCAGCTTCCTCCCTGGCAAGCTCCCTGGCAAGCTCCTCTTCCTCCAGAGCTAATGCCTCTTCATCCTCTGGGGACAGGGTCTCTTGGGGGGCTGGTTCTGGTGGCATGGAGACAGGCTCAGCTGGCACAGCAGTGGGCTCAGTTGGCATGACAACAGGCTCAGTTGGCATGGCAACAGGCTCAGTTGGCATGGCAACAGGCTCAGTTGGCATGGCAACCTCCTCAGCAGGCACACTGACGTCTACCTCTCTCTCAAAGTCCTCGTCTGGAATTGCACTTTCTTTGGGAACTTCTGCAGGCATCTGTACCTCCTCTGCAGGCACGGAAACTGGTGCTTCTTTTATCTCATCTTCCTCCTCTTCTCTGGAAATACCTGGAACAATGTCGGGCTGCGGCACCACCTGGTCAGACGGCTGGTCAGCAAACAGGTCTTCTGCTGTAGCAATAAGAACAATTGCATTCTACTAACTCTGCTACTAGAACAGTTAGGCAAAGAAACACCTGAGTTTCAAATATCATCTGCCTAACTGCCTTGGACCTACATGTACATAGTAACAAAGCAGCAGTGCCACACAGTGGCACTAAGCAAAACTGCAACATGCCATCCTTCTTACCTGATTTCCCACATAGAAATGCCATATTATATCATAATTAACATCATCAATGGATGAGGACATGTTAAACATTTTGACATAACGGGTAACAAACATTATATTTTGTACAACAACAAATGAATGAAATGCAACATAGTTTACATTGTAACAAAAATTGTATTCTTGACAGAAGAGAATGAAGTACATGTATAAACATTTCTGCAATACTACTATAATGTGCTAGGAGGAGTGTTGCTAAAAAGTAGTCCTTAGTCAAACAATATTGACACTTAACACATTTTTACAGCTTGATGAAGTGCATTCTGAGAGACGACAAAAGATGAACATTTGACATCCACATTAAGCAATACATAACATTTAGTAGAAAATGGAATGAAACATTAACATTTAATATTTTTGGAATTGTACCCTGTTGAAGTGGTTTCTCCTCTTCAGGTTGTGACACAGGTACATCCACATGTATGGCTGCATGTTAGGAGAGGAATGGTTATATATTAGAACATTACTTCACTTTCTATAACTGAGACTTCTTAAATACTGAACTGTTGACATTTACCTTTATCTCAAAAACTCTTAAGATCAATTTTTGCAGTATTTATCCAACTGGAATTTCTATAAGTGATTACAATTACATACAAGAACTTGAATGTGGAAACTTGTTAACCATAAAATGCATTTTGTAAAATGGCTTGCAGTGAAAATTAGGTGAAGATTTGTGACAATGTCAATAAAATACCATCTTCTTCCTCTTCCTCTGATTCAGATTCTTCTTCCTGCTGTTCCAGGTCTTGTTCATCTTCCCGCACCTCAGCTTTCCTCTGCTGTTCTGGGAACTGTGCTACCTCCCTTTCTTCTTCTTCCTCTTCATCATCAAAGGCCGCGTTGACCAGCCCACCAACCATCATTGGCGGCTCCTCCTTGTCAGGAAAGGCATCTCGTGCCTCTTCATCCAGCTCCTCTACATCCATAGGTTCCTGTGGAAAAGCTTGTTCCACCACTTTGTCTTCCACACCGAAGGGTTCATTTGCCGTTTCTGGCTGCCTGTCAAATGGATTTAGGGAAGCCGCAAACGGATTTGTGGACGGCTGTGCCCACTGAGCGGGCGGGGCTTCCTCTTTTGCTTCCCAGGGAGAAACTCCAGGCTCCACATTCCCATTGTCAGGCTGGACGTTAGCATTGGCAGCAGCAGGTTCCACATTCTCGTCCTCAGATTCAGGTTCTGAATCCTTATTCGCAGGCACTGATTCAGACCAAGCTGGTGCTCCCCCGGACCAGGCAGGCGGCTCCCTTTGTACAGGTTCTGCCATCTCCACCATCGACGAGAAGCCCACCTCCTCTGGCTCATAATCTTCTCCTACCTTGTTACCCTCATTATCCAACTGCACGTCTCCCTCATTAGCATACACAGGCCTATATCCGCCTAATGACTTTAACCCCTCCTCTTCTTTGGGCCTCTGGAAACTGTACATGTCGTCATGTTGTCCAGGTGAGGAGGGAGGAAGGACGTCAGGGGGTGCTTTGTCCGTTTTGGGCGGACCCATGTCGTCCAAATACTGCGCGGCGTGAGCGTGGGAAGTATCCATGAGGCTCACTGCCTCCTGGTTCAGAGCTACAAAGTCGTCCACGGCAGATTCTGTTATTTCATCCTCATTCCTAGGAGCTGCATGCGTGGAAGGTCAAATAATGTGTTAGTAATCAAGGAAGTTCATCTGTGTTGGTGAGTGATCATAGTAAAATATTTTCAACGACCACTGTCGCCTTCATCAGGATAATGAATGAAGTTGAAAATTTGATCTATGTGTAATCTTTGTTTTGGAATAACGTTCAACATATACTAAAACGTGTTACTAACTACATATTGTTTTCAAAATAAATAATATGTGGGAAAATCTTATTATGGGTTCACCACACCACGAAGTGGTGGTGAACCCATATTGCTTTTTCTGATGTTTCTTCTCCTCCTTCTCCTTCTCCTGCCATTTTTTAAATGGATTCAGCTTCTTCATTTTAGGGCCCAAGGTCCTGAAATTTGGTATGGAGGTACAGTGGGCAAATACCCCTAGGCGTTTTTTAAATTATTGTGATACAGGCTTTTAGAATGGTTTTATTTGAGTTTTTTGGCTGTGTTATAGCAAATGTATTACTGTGTTAGTGTGCCTTGTTTACCACGTTTGGGCATGAGTCATCACAATGGAATGCAGGGCATCAACCAATAGGCATGCAGCTTTCCTCTATACTTCTTGCTGATTGGCTGTTGGGATTTAACTTTATTAACACCTGCACAGAGCATTTCCACCTGCACAGAGCATTTCTTGCTGATTGGCTGTTGGGATTTAACTTGATTAACACCTGCACAGAGCATTTCCATACTGACAGTATATATGTCTTTATTCAAGTGTTTTGGTAGGTATTTCAAGCTTTTCTGCTCCAGCATTGGAATGCGGGGCATGAACGTTTTTTTTTTGAAAATCAACAGTTTGCATTATGCAATTAAAAATCCTAACCAATAAAGTAGGGAATAGCTATCCAACTGTTGTTTTAGTTGTATGTTACTTCATATTATAGTTATATCAATGTAAATCATTGTTTTCCCTTGTGTTTCTCATTCTTTCCCTGCCATGTCGTAAAATGTGGTGAACCCATCGCTATATTTGCTCCAAAGCAAATATTGGCCTTTCTAGTTATAATTCTAGTCTTTCATGAGAAGAAGCTGTCCCTTGCAAGGTGTAACATATTACATGTACCTGTCTTAAATATTCAAACGTGCTTAAAATATTACTTCATGAAAAATGTGATTGAACAGTTAAGGTGGACACTTTAGGCAAGCCTTGTGACAAGACAATTGTACAAGTACATATAATAGGAAGCACAGGCACCAAATGATTATAAGCTTGCCTAAAGAGAAGTAACTGTGATGAACTAAAAGCAAAGATGGTAAATCAAAATTGGGCAAGTGAGCTACAAAAATATCACAAATTGGGCAACTGTAACAAACATATCATTGAACTACATGTATAATTGATGTGACATGAAGAAATGAACAACAAAACAGCTAATGCCCAGCACGAAGTTAACAACACAAAAACTAAGACATAACAGAAGCAAACAGCTAACTAAAGGAGTGTTGCCATGTGATAGCCACAAACACCAAAAAGTCTATAAAACGTGTGTGCTTCTTCTAAAGCTGGTGACATATTGACAAACAAGACTTGCAAACCCACAACAATACAACTTAAAAGAGGCAAACAATGCAAATAAGAAGTCTTTTTGAAGGTAAGCCTTATAGGATAGAAATACATGTAAAGAAATCTGCCATTCAGCTTTGGAACCATACCTCATAATAAAAAAAATATATATTATGAGCTGAGAAAACTTACAGGGCTCATGACTGCCACTGGTTTGGTGGCAAATGCGCCCAGAATTTTGACAGGTGCGACCATATTTGAAATCATGGTAGCATGGTGCGCCAATCAAAAATTAAGACCAACAACTTTGAACAAGAGGTTCTTTGGTTTGTAAGCACTGTGCTTCCCTGTGGATTATATTCCCAGGGACCAGTACCAATTATACACACCAAGGGTGAAAACTCAACTGGAAATCTCACTGTGCTGGTTAAAAAGGCTTTCTTGTTTGTTTTAGCTGTGATTTGGTTGGGGAAATGCTTTAAGAAAATATGATGGTAGCTACTCGTAACTTAGATTTTCATATATTAATGACAGTAATTCCTAATAGGCTTACTTGCTTCAAGCTCCAGGTAGAAAATGCATGTAGAGTCTGTATCAATTTTTTTCTTGTTGAACTTAGTGGGGAACCTTAACAAAATTACGTGGAAAAAAAAAACAATTAGGACAATATTTTTCTGGTGGTGCGCCTAGATTTTTGCTGGTGCGCCCAATTGTTTTGGGCTAGGAGCACAGTGCTCCTAAGTCAAAAGTTAGTCTGGAGCCCTGACTTACATAATTATTTGTAAAATTTGATGGTGCATACATTTGTAGTGCACTTTTATACTACGTTTCACTCTGTAAGACCAAAGCTGTATTAGAAAACCTCACATCTGTCATTAAATATGTACAAATGTAGCTTGAGTTGGGGTTCCAAAAACCATCAGCTAATCAGATTGCTTGTAACATGCCAGTGGTCGAAATACTTTTTTTCAGTGCTCTGCAATATTGCAGAAGAGTAAAAATTTTGTTCTGCAATTTGGAAATACTTTCTGCCAATACACAAGCCTCCATACTACAATCTTGCAGGTTTATAAGCATGAACTATTGATTGATATGCAAATTAGTGAAGACAAATTTTTGGAAGTCCAAAAGGAAACAAAAGATAAACAAGTCAAGACAAGGTTTATGCAAATTAGTGAAGAAGCTACTGTTGTTTCAGAACAGGAGCTTAAGTGTTGTCTGTCCTTGGGGCCAAAAGCATCAAATCCCAAGTGCCAATTTTTCCTGCTGCAAAATTGCAGATTGTATAAATTTTTCTTCTGCAATCTTGAAAATCTATCTGCAGATTGCAGACTGCAGACAGGTATTTCGAACACTGCATGCATATGCCAGGCAAAGAACAACCAATCACAAACGTGTACAGATTCACACACCCTGGCGGTCAGTATGTCCCATAAAGTCATCCATGTCCGCGGTCTCGGGAGGCGGCGTGACATCTTCCGGACTGCGGTCGAAATTGATCAGGCTGGCCTCCAGGGGAGGGGGGTGGTCGTCGAAAAGTTGGGGCTTCTGTGATACTGAAGGTTGGAGGAGGGAGTTTAACACTACAATGTAGGTTGTCATCATTCTAATGTACTTGTAACTAACACTTGTTCATGTATAACAAATACCAAACAAATTGCTAAAGATACTAGATATTACACAGTTTGCTTCTTGAAAATTGCTGATTCAGAAGCAACCTAGTTGTACATACTAGACAACATAAAGCAAAACTTTAGAACAGAAACTGGAACTGAGGAGGGCTCTATCATTAAACTCGAAACAATGACATCAGAAGAACCAACAATACAGGCCATGAAATAAATGTCAAAATTATGAAAGCACCATACGAAGCCAAGATATGAAATATAATTCAAAAGAATAAAATAAATTAAAAACCTTCTAAAACAGAAATCTAATAACTTTCTGGAATAACAACAGAAACCACAGCATAATGGAAAATCCATTTGAGCAATTTTGATCACAAATACATTTGGGACTGTCTAACATCACAGATTCCTAAAATTTTTAAAGAAAGATTTTTCCTTTCTCTCCCTAATATACATTTTTGTATACATGACATGTATGATAATGCTATAAAATAAACATCCCCTTGGAGGCCCCAACACTTTTATGGTCTCCAAAACATATGTTACGGAATAATTCATTGTGCATTAATACCTTACACAACCACATGTCATTCTGGACTTATCAAGGTGATCAAGACGAGGTTATGATATGCAAAACTAGTGACTTTCCTGTATATGAATAGAACACGTAGCCAACTAGTTATTTATGAAATATATAACCTATAATAATTGTAGTATTCTAACAAACAACTACAATGTATCATGAGTGGGGAACACACATTTACACAGATAAGGCCACACCAATTTAATTTCTTGGTTAACGGATTTTTCTAGAAAAATAATGGAGTGGGCGGGCGAAAAAAATAAAAAAATAAAAACAGGCATAGGCATCCTATTATGGCCCAAAATGGTAAGATAGGACCCATGAAGTCAACACACCAGGCTGGTTCAAAATTTAAACAATGAATTTTGAACTTTTAATGATACTACTGCATTGAAAGATGGAATGACTGTAACAAGTAGTAAAGAAAAGGACTGTTTCCAACTGTTCAGGGCAAAATATGAGCATTTTGCAGTTGATTCTGAATTTTTATTTTTATTTGCAAATCAGAAAAAAACGAAGCGGCGAATCTGTTAACCAAGAAATTAAATTGGTGTGGCCTAAGCACTGACAAAAGCAGGGTTGACAAATTTAAAGTAGATGTCAAAGCTGCAGGCCTGGGACAAGGGAATTACTACGAGTATGACATCTACATGTAACAACAAGCAGACCATCTGAAATAAAACTGTGGTGTAAGAAATATTTTTGCACAATCAAGTACTTTGTTACAAAGAGAAGCCTTCAGCAGTCCTGTAGTCCTTCTCTCTGTTGTTAATGAACACTTTAAGAATCTGTAAACCTGCAAAAGTGCTTATCAAAGAAAGTAAATACAGAGGAAAGAGTTGCTGTAAGCTGGAAGGCTATGTACATGTACAAGTATGAGAGCACATATAGAAACCAAAAAGGCGGTAACTCGCAATTGTGGAGCTGCTTGCAAGAAGCTACAAAAAACAAAGTTTGTCTTCCTAAAAATTGGTCAGTACACTGATTCTGTATTTGACCTGGTATTGGTGTTTGATGCAACCATGAGAAACAATGAACAACCCTTAGAAATGCAAAATGGGTAAGTTTTAGAAAGCGCGGCTTTGACATAGCAGCAGAATGTGGGGGCTTGGCTCACGTGGGTAGTAAGTACATTGACACACGCAGGGACCAGCGGTGGCGGATGGCACTAATATGGCACACTATGTCATTTGGCACAAGAATGAGATGAAAGGTGCGGTAACCTGTTTCGTCATCGGCTGTATGGCACTCCACTGGCCCATTAGACAGCTTTCTTGCTTCAGGAAGGTCTTCCTTTTCTGGTTTGGCCGCCTTCACAACTTCTTCCATTACGACCTCTTCTACCTTTTTACCTGGATGAGCCACCTCTCCATTTACCACCTGCGCTGCAACTCTAGCACTGTCCATGTCTGATACAGATGGCTTGTCTACTTCCTCTTGTTTCTTATCTTCCTCCACAGCCTTCTCTTTATGGTCTTCTTCCTCAGTAAGTGTCTCTGGTGTTGCTGAGGCCATTCCCACGTCCATAGATGTTGGTTGTTGTGGAATTTTATGGCTTGTCCCCACAATGGCCTCTGCAGGTTTTGATGCATCTGGAGTATTCTTTTTCTCATCAGATGTGCCTTTGATGTCCATCCCTTCCTCCTTGCCAGTCTCCCTGATGTCTGTTTCCTTCTCTTCTTTTCCCCTTTGTTGGTCATCAGGGATTACTTTCTCATTGCTATCCTTTTTCGGCTCAGCTTTTGTAGTGTCTGACTCCTCATCCTTCTTTCCACTTTGCTCTGGAGATTTCGTAGCGCTGGTCTCATCTTTCTGTGCTCCCTCTTTCTTTCCAGCGGCATCTATTTCTTTTTCTGCTGACTTTGAAGCATCCTTATCCACTGTAACATCTCTGTCCGCATCAGCATCTTTCACCTTCTTAGACAAATCATCTAATTCCACCTTGGGTTCAGGGTGATCTTTCTTATATTCAGTCGCAGCCAGTTCCTTCAGCTTCTCAGGCTCTGAAACCTTTTCGGGCTCCTTCTGATCTTTTGCAGATTCCTGTGCTACAGTTATTTCATCAGTAACCTCTGAAGTTGGCTCCGTATCTTTGTCCTTGCTCTGACCTGACACCTTGTTTAATGCTATACTTTCAGCTACTTCCCCCTTACTGCCTTTGCCTGATTTAACAGGTTTTTCAACATCCTCTATTTTGGGTTCACAAACTTCCTTATCCTCTTTGGTTGGCATTTTTGACCCTACGATGTCTTTTATGTCTTTCTCATCTCTTGAATCCGGGATTTGTTTTTCATCTGGTTTACCTTTATCATCAGTGGCCTTCTCTTCTTCTTTACATTTTTGCAGAGGTGCCAGATCCTCTTTAATGGTATCATCATGGGGGTTAGATAATCCCTTATCTACCTCAGGACCTGCCTGGTCTTCTGATCTGGAATCCTTTGATTCTGTCACAGGATGAGGCTTGTCCTTTGATTGCACGGGCTGCTTAGCATCACCTGGTAGATTACTGACCCCCTGGGATGCTTTTTCTTGTAAAGCTGTATCTGGGAAAGCCTTTGCTGCCTGTACACCATCTGATGCAGGGAGCTTGTCAGGAGTGGGGACAGGTGTCTGTTTAGCTTCATCTTTAGTTGGTTCTTGCACATCTGGTTCTGCCGGTAGCTTGGCTTCAACTTTTAGAGGTGGCTCTGATGAGACTTTAGTTTCATCTTTAGCAACTGTTTCCTCGGTTACTTTAGCTTCATCTTTAACAACTAACTTTGAAGGTTCTTTAGCTTCATCTTTTGTACCTACTTCTGCAGTTTTTTTATGTTCATCATCTGGATCTTTTTTATCTGGCTGTGGAAGTTCTTTAGCATCACCCTTGACACCTGACTCTGATGTTACTGCGACAGTTGATTCTAATGATTCTACAGTCCTCTTTTCTGATGCTACTTTAGCTTCAGCTGATAGTTCTTTAGCTTCCTCTTTTGCAAAAGCTTCCGACAATTGTCTAGTTTTATCTTTATCAGCTGGTTCCAATGGTACCTTATCTTCCTTTTCACCAGATGGTTCTGCCTTAGCTTCATCTTTAGCATCTTTCTCTTTATCTTTTACAGCTGCTTTTAAATGTTCCTTAGTTTTGTCCTTAGCAGATGTTTCTGATGGCACTATAGGTGAAACTTTAACATCTGTTTTGGAAGGAGTTTTAGAGTCACTCATGAGAGCTGCTGTTTCTGTTGGTGCCTCATCTAAATCTTTAGCAGCTGCTTCAGGTTGTACTTTATCCCCATCTTTAACAGCTGCTTCAGGTGGTACTTCATTCACATCTTTTGTAGCTACTTCAGGTGGTACTTTATCCATATCTTTTGTAGCTGTTTCAGGTGGTACTTTTTCCACATCTTTTGAAGATGTTTCGAGCAGTACTTTATCCACATCTTTTGCAGCTGCTTCAGATGTTACTTTATCCACATCTGTTGCAGCTGTTTCAGGTGGTGCTTTATCGACTTCTTTTGCAGCTACTTTATCCCCATCTTTTGCAGCTGGTTCAGGTGGTTCTTCATTCACATCTTTTGTAGCTACTTCAGGTGGTGCTTTATCCACATCTTTTGTAGCTGTTTCAGGTGGTACTTTTCCCATATCTTTTGTAGCTGTTTCAAGTGGTACTTTTTCCACATCTTTTGCAGCTGTTTCGGGCAGTACTTTATCCACATCTTTTGCAGCTGCTTCAGATGTTACTTTATCCACATCTGTTGCAGCTGTTTCAGGTGGTGCTTTATTGACTTCTTTTGCAGCTACTTTATCCCCATCTTTTGCAGCTGGTTCAGGTGGTGCTTTATCCCCATCTTTTACAGCTGGTTCAGGTGGTGCTTTATCCCTATCTTTTGTGGCTGGTTCAGGTGGTACTTTATCGACATCTTTTGTAGCTTTATCCCCATCTTTTGTATCTGGTTCCGGTGGTGCTTTATCCAAATCTTTTGCAGCTGGTTCAGGTGGTACTTTATCTACATTTGCAGCTGTTTCAGGTTGCACTTCTTTTGTAACTGTTTCAGGTGGTACTTTTCCCATATCTTTTGCAGCTGGTTCAGGTGGTGCTTTATCCACATCTTTTGCAGCTGGTTCAGGTGGTACTTTATCTAAATTTGCAGCTGTGTCAGGTTGCACTTTATCCCCATCTTTGGTTGCTGGTTCAGGTGCTGGTTCTGGTGTCTGTTTAGCTTCATCTTTAACAGCTGATTCTGGTGACTGTTTAGCTTCCTCTTTAACAGCTGGTTCTGGTGACTGTTTAGCTTCAACTTTAACAGCTGGTTTTTCTGGCTGTTTAGCTTCATCTTTATCAACTGGTTCTGGTGTCTGTTTAGCTTCCTCTTTAACAGCTGGTTCTGGTGACTGTTTAGCTTCACCTTTAACAGCTGGTTCTGGTGACTGTTTAGCTTCATCTTTAACAGCTGGTTTTTCTGGCTGTTTAGCTTTATCTTTATCAGCTGGTTCTGGTGACTGTTTAGCTTCCTCTTTAACAACTGGTTCTGGTGTCTGCTTAGCTTCATCTTTAACATCTGGTTCTGGTGACTGTTTAGTTTTGTCTTTAACAGCTGGTTCTGGTGACTGTTTAGCTTCCTTTTTAACAGCTGGTTCTGGTGACTGTTTAGCTTCAACTTTAACAGCTGGTTCTGGTGACTGATTAGCTTCAACTTCAACAACTGGTTCTGGTGACTGTTTAGCTTCATCTTTAACAGCTGGTTCTGGTGACTGTTTAGCTTCATCTTTAACAACTGTTTTTTCTGACTGTTTAGCTTCATCTTTAACAGCTGATTCTGGTGACTGTTTAGCTTCATCTTTAACATCTGGTTCTGGTGTCTGCTTAGCTTCCTCTTTAACAGCTGATTCTGGTGACTGTTTAGCTTCATCTTTAACAACTGGTTCTAAGGATTGTTTAGTTTTGTCTTTAACAGCTGGTTCTGGTGACTGTTTAGCTTCATCTTTAGCAGCTGGTTCTGGTACTGTAGGACTATCTGTAACAGCAGGCTTTGATTCTACATCAGGTTTAACATCAGCTCCAGATGCTACTTTTACACCTTCACCTGTTTCCACTGTTGTTACCTTTTCTGACAGTGGTTGTGTTTCACACATCTGTTTTAGTACTACCTCCCCTTTCTCTTCAGCTTTAGGCTCTGTTTTTTTGTCAGATTTGCTAACTGCTTTGTCTTCTTTCTCAGTTTCTGTTCTGCAAGTGGACAACCCTACCTGGCCTTTCTTGTCTGGAACTGGCTCAGATTTCTTAGATGTAGCCTCTGAAACTGTTGCTGTTTTCTCTTCAGGAATTTCTTGCTTTTCTTTGAGTGGGTTTTCCTCCAGTCCAGCTGGTAATGTACCTTTTACGGAAACATCTTTTGTGTTTGCCTCTTGGGATTTCTCAGGAACAGGTGTGTCAACGCCCACTGATGATTTTTGACTTTCATCTGTCTTTGATGCACCCGTTGCTACTTTAGGCTCATCAGGAATGATCTTTGTCTCTCCACTGGAAACCTCACTAGAGGATGACATTTTCTGTTTACCATGTGCTTCTGCTGATTTTGTAAGGCCCTGACTTTCTGAATTTAAAATTTTCTGTACTGCCTTGTCGTCTGTTTCAGGTGTTTTGTCTTTGCTGCTTTCTGCTTGCTCAGACACAGCAGGTCCCCCCTCTTTTTCTCCTCTGTGCTCTTCCTTGCTCTCCTGTGGTGTGGGTTTCTCAGCATCCTTGCTGTCTTGTGTAGGCACTTTCTCTGGTTCAATTTTGTCTGCGTCAGCAACATTTTTACAGCCTGCCGTGGGCACAGACATGCTGACTTTCTCATCATCTGTGATATTGGCAACACTGGTAGTAACACTAGGTTTTTCATCTATCAAAACTTTTGCAGTATCTAAATGGCTTTGACCTTCGCCTGAAAAAGGTTTTGAAGGGGAAGCAGAGTCTGCTTTTTGTTCCTCAGCTACTGTACTTTTTTCAGCAGCAACAACCAAGCTTTCAGAAATAGGGTCTTTATGAGTGGTACCAAGGGTGTCATCATTTTCATTCACATCCTTTGCGTCACTGGCTTGGACCTTGGCGTCACCTTGGTGAACGCATTTGGCATTCAATGTGGAGGGCTGCGACTCTTCTTGCCCTTGTGAGGCTGACGTAGATGGGCACTGACCAACGTTGTCCACCGTAGCAGCAGATTTGACACGTGGATTGTCCGTTTTCTCCTCCCTTTCTGATTCCCCTGTCCATCTGTCTCACTCTTCATGGCACCAAAGTTTGCGTTCACCTCTTTTTCACTGACACTACCTGCTAACAGTAAACAGATTCCCAATGTTGTATACCCTACATCAGTATCTATCAAGCCAATTTCTCATCATCTACAATA